CTTTTCTTTATTTAACTCTATATTATAGGGATCGTGTTATAGTAGTATAGTTTCCATTCTTTTTACAGCTTTAAAATATTCTGTTGTGAGAATTATTATTACTCATCCAGTACCATATTGATGGATATAGTGCAGTGATAGCTTTGTCCATAAGTCTTTTCAATCTTTTGTCAGTGAATGTATGGGGTTGCTTGGTTAAAGAGTAAATGCATTTGTGATATTGCTAGTTCCCTTTCATGGGATTCTACCTTCTATTTTCACTTGCAGTGTTTAAAGTATGCATATTTTTCACAGTCCAAGTATATTGTCCAGGTAGGTTATGAAATTCTGTCAGTTTAATCGTTGAAGAATATTTTGGGATAGTCATGAATTATGACTGAAATGAGTCCTGGTGTGGCGTTGAAGGATAATACACTGGACCTCAAGGTCAGTTTGGGCCATGAGATTGGTGGTTCAGACCCACCAACTGCTCTTCAAAACCCTGCATAAGGTTGCTATGAGTCAGAATTGACTCAGTGGCACTTTACAAAAACAACTACATATGAATTATAATGGCTCTCATCTAGAGTATTACTTTTACGTGTAAGACGGTCTTAGAATCAGGGTATTTATAGATACATTTTTAGTGAGACTGAGGTTGCATTGAAGCCCAATTAAAATACATTTTCCTTTATTCATGGTCTTACATTATTAAAAAAAGAAAGTAACATTAGTAAGGTAACATTTAATCATTGTTTAAAATGTACATTTTATTATTTTGGCATGGACATTAGTTCTGCAATCTGTAGCAGTGAAGCATTTACTACATTAATTACTATATTTTGTAGATTTTTCAATCTTTTTCTGAAATCAGATTTTAGCAATGGAATGCTAAGAGTAATTCCTTACCATCTATATATGCACTTGTTTGCAAAACGCTGTGTTAAGACAGTTCAGCCCTCAAAATCAGAAAGCCACTGCCATTGTCAATTGTGACTCATAATAATTATGCAAAGGGTTTCTGAGACTGTGACTCTTTATAGAAACAGAAATACTCATTTTTTTTTCCCAAGAAGCAGTTGGTGGGTGTGAACTGCCCACTTTGTGCTTATCTTACAGCACAAAGAATCCATAAATATTTTGGGAAAAAGCAGGCAGATAATGTTACTGGTGACGTTTTAAAAGGATGAGAAGAAATATGTATACAGTGATTCAGCTCCCTTCTGTTCCTTACCATCCCTCAGGTATAAGTATTCCATTTTTGAGTTTTTTAGTACAATATAAAAACTTCTGAGAAGATTTTGTTGAGCTGGAAAATCTGTAAAAATGAAGTGGATATGTATGTACACTTTTTTAACCTATAAAATGACAAAGTGATCAGTTATACTGAGATTTTGCAATGGGGAGTTATTTGTCTCCAAGAAATAATAAGACTATAGAAATCTTGTGGAATTCAAATCATATTGTACTGGATTGAGGAATTGATAAGATGTAGAGAAATAATTAAAGAAGGTATTTTATTAATAAAGAGAAAAATATAAATGTAAATATTTCTAGTGTGTCACAATAATGTTTTTTAAATTTTTTTAATTATAGGACAATAGAGTTCACATTGGACCAAAAATGGAAATTCGAGTTGTTACATTAGGATTAGATGGTGCTGGGAAAACTACTATTTTGTTTAAATTAAAACAGGATGAGTTCATGCAACCCATTCCAACAATTGGTATGTATGAGTATTTATTTAGAACTTACTGAACATTTTATAAACATTAACTTGCTTACAGATGAGTAATCAGGGTGTTATTTGCGATAAATATGATACAGAGGTGGACTTACTTCTAAGACACCCGCGTTAATAAGTTGAAAAAATTCAAGCGTTAGTGATTTTGTGATTGAACTGTGTACAGTGGGATAGTAACAAGCCACTTAGTATTGGTGGAACAGTAGATAGGAATAGAGAATTAGTGACTCTGTTTAAGGGTTACGGATTAGAGGCTGTAGTGATGCACAGCAGGTTGGTACTGGGCTTTCAAGGACCTAAAAACCCAGTGGATGTTTAGAGGGCTATCACTATTAGAGATCTAGATTCCCTGTGGAGGGTTATTGGAGTGGAGTTGGGCAGCACTAGATATTGCAACAGGTAGACATTTTTAAGTTTCAATTGTAAGCACAGTTGCCTGTGTTTGGTGTGTTACTCATTGTAAATAGGAATGCAGGATAAAGTGACTTTTTTTTTTTTTTTAATAGGTTTTAATGTAGAAACTGTAGAATATAAAAATTTAAAATTCACTATTTGGGATGTAGGTGGAAAACACAAATTAAGACCATTGTGGAAACATTATTACCTCAATACTCAAGGTAAGAGTGAAAAATGACTCTTAAATTTTCAGATTTTTATGCCGGTTTTCAACACAGTGATTTAACTAGCAAAACTCATCCTTGAACATTGAGAGCATAACTGTACAGTTACTTATCAGTGGGCTATCCCATTTTTGAAAAAAGCATGAAGGTAGAAAGATTGAAACATGAATATTTTTATCTTATGATAAAGCCATGACTATAGTATAACTATACTTAGCTTAGATATGTAGACAGTCCAGATATATCTATACTGCATATCTTAGATATGTAAATATAACTCTACTTAGCTTAGATATGTGAAAAATTATCTCTTGCTGCCTATGGCAATTAAAGTAATTAAAGTAAGTTGTTATATGGATATGATGATCATTGGCAACATGTTGGTGTATGACTTGAATTTATAGTATATGGTTCAGCTGCTCAGTTGAATACACATTAACTCATTGTACTATCTCAGTAACCCTACTCCCTCATTTCTTTTCACAAGTAGTTATTATCTACAGAAGAACCTGTCAGTTGGTCATACTTCCATGTTGCTGCGATTCTGGAACCTATGATTCATAGGTATTAGATATACCCCAATATGAAGCTTATGTTCATTGCAAGTGTTCCACATATCATCCAGTCTTTCAACTGGATGATATAATTTAGCTAATTATATTTGCTCTGGGATTTTTTGGTATCAAGTTCAATATCAGTCAGTTATTCATGGGGAAAAAAAATATATATATAATCTTGAATATGAGGAGTGATTGAATGTTTATCCTAGAGAGAATATTTTAGCAAGATAAAAATGATTTTTTTTTGTAAAGGAATTAGTATTCAAAGAACAAGTAGCATCAGTAGGTAGAAGATCATGAGAGGCATGTTTTCCTTCACTAAGAGAATATATTAATTGTATAGCAATTTGTGTTTGGTAGAGAAAATATTATAAATCATTCTAGATTGTGAAACTGGAATCATGGTGTGGTATTGTAAGACAAACATTTGACTACTGTCAATAAGGTTGAAAGTTCAAATCCACCACTGCTCCTAGGAAATCCTATGCAGGTTCACTATGAATCAGAACTGACTCAACAAGAAGATAGGGAAACTAGAGCAAGTGTTTAAATTTTTGTTCTACATAGCAAAACTAAGCCTGAGAAGTTATGTCTGAAGAAACTCAGATCACCCCATTAGTTATTGTTAAGTGCTCCTCTAATACTCATTATTTTAAAATGTGATAGAGTCAATTCCAACTCATAGAGACCCTATATGAGGGTTTCTGAGGAGCAGATGGTGGGATCGCACTGTCAACTTTTTGGTTCTCAGTCCAGTGTTTATCCTACAGTTCCACACCAGGACTCCCCAACAAAACTAGACAGCTTTTAAGCAAAACTAATGATGGTGAAGGATCTCTGAACATATAATAGAGAGAACATTCAACTATTTGGTCCATTTATTGAACCTTAAGTGACTATTTGAATTTTCTTTCCTTTTTGGTAGCTGTTGTATTTGTTGTTGATAGCAGTCATAGAGACAGAGTTAGTGAAGCACACAGTGAACTTGCAAAGTTGTTAACGGAAAAAGAACTTCGAGATGCTTTGCTCCTGATCTTTGCTAACAAACAGGTAAAATACATTTGTATCACAAAATACTTTTTTAGTAGTTTTTGTGCATCTCATGTCATACTATAGCTGGAAAGACTTCAAAAGAGAGTAATTTCAGGAGTTATAAAATTTCTGCTGTTTTCTGAGTCCATTCGATTTGGAAAGTGCTGTGCTGGGTTCCTTGGGATACATAAAAAGAATAAGGTAATTGATGCTTACCAAAAGCTCCTGTGTATATGTGAATATACCAAGGGGTTTCCAAAAGTTCATAAGACAGAGAGTAGTTCTAAAGGTGGCAGATTGAAATTGAATGTTGATTTGTGGATAAGACTGAGTCAATATGTGAAGGAAAGGACATTACAGGCATAGAAAATAATTCATGATGTGTTTATTTAAAAAAAATTTTAAACTTATTGTTATGTGAATTGAGGTGAAGATTTACAGAACAGATCATCAGTTTTACATTCAACAAACATACACTTTATTTCACTATATGGTTGTAATCCCCTCCATATACCAACAGTTAACAGCATTTACCTCTATTCACTTTAGCTATTGCATTTCTCCTTATGTGACCTGCTACCTTCGTCTTTCCTTTGCTAACCTCCCTCTTGTTGTATATTGTATATCCTGTCACCCATGTTCACATGTGTCTATTTTCTAGTGCATGAATAATTTTCCTTTCCTCCCCTCTCTTGTAACCATCAAAGATTATTTCTTTTACAAGAAAACCATTTTTTGAACTTTTTCAACATTGTTCTCATACAATGCTTGTACTTTTTTGATCGACTGATTTCACTCAGCCTAATGTTAACAGTTGCAGTCAAACAGACTGCAGAGCTGTTTGAACCTCAAAGTTGGCGGTTCAAACTCACCAGCTGCTCCTCGGAAACCCTATAACAGGGTCGCTATGGGTGGGAGTTGACTCGATGGCACTTAACAACAACGTCCTCCAGGTTCAACCATATTGTGAGGTGTTTTACAGATTCATCATAATTCTGTAACATTTTGTGATATTCCATTTTTTGTATGTACCAAAATTTGTTTAACCATTCTTTTGTTGATGTGCATTTAGGCTGTTTCCGTCTTTTTGATATGTCTCTTGAATACAGCAAATTGAAAGATAATGTTTTCTTATCCATTCTGCTATTTATATCTCTTGACTGAGACATTTAATCCATTTATTCAGTATAATTATCAGTAGGTATGAATTGATATCATTTGTTCTGTGGTTTTTTTGTTTTTTGTTTTTTTTTGTGTGTGTGGTGCTGCTGGATTCCTTGTTCCACATAATTTTCTATGCTGAGTTCATTTTATTTGAGTTTTCATTTTCATTTCTGTTGTGTTAATGTTTACTAAATCTTTCTGATTTTCTTCTTTTTCTATTTTGATGTGGCATATTATTTTCATTGAGGTTATTCTATTCTGTAGTTTATTAATTTTTTCCCTGCTTACCAGTCTGTTGTATCTTGACTAAGTCTACTTGACGTTTTTTGCCATTTGGAAGTTCTTTATCTATCTTATTCCCTCTTTATGTTCTGTAATTGACTCAGTATTATACCTTGATATTTCTGGTTCCTTATTTTCAGCCTTGTAAGTTTGTTTTAGTTTTAATACTTCTATATCTGGATTGAATTCTGGATAGTGTTTTCATGTATGGTAATCTCAGTTGTTGGTTCATAGTCCAAAGGACAGCCGTTAGCATTTTTTATAAAGTTGGTCTAATCATTACATATTCTTTCAATTTCTGTTTATTAGGAAATGTCCTGTTTTCACCATGATATTTGAAGGGCAGCTTTGCTGAGTATATGATTTTTGGTTGGCAATTTTTTTTTTTCTTTCAGAATTCTATATGTCATCCTTCAAGCCTGCATAGTTTCTACTGAGAAATCCTAACTTAGTTTTATTGGTTTTCCTTTGCAGGTAACTTTTCATTTTACTCAAGCTGCTGTCAGGTTTCTTTCCTTGTCTTTGATTTTGAAAATTTGATTATGATGTCTTGGTGATTTTCTTTTGGAATCTAGTATGGAGTTCATTGAGCTTACTGTATGCTTATCTTCTCATCTTTTATGATGCTAGTAAAGTTTTCTTCCAACAAATCTTCAACAATTTTCTTTGTGCTTGTCCCTTTCTGTTCTGGAATTCTGATCACCCATAAGTTGTTCCTCTTCATGGTGTCCACATAACTGTTATGCTTTATTTGGACTGATTCATTCTTTTTTCTCATTGTTCTTCTAGCATACTACTATTGAGAGATTTTTCTTCATGGTCACTTAATTCCAGTTTCCATCTTTTCATCTACTCTTTGTCCCTTTACGGTATTGTCCATTTCTGAGATCTTAGTATTAATCTTCTGCATTTCTAATTGCAGGTTTTGTATTGGCTTAAAATTTGCATTTATTTTGTCTATTTGTTCTTATGGTGTTTCCCTGAATTCTTCTAAAGTTTTTATTATATTCTCTTTACTTTTCTTGATCTTCCTTTTGATCCTTTGAAGGTGCCTAGTTATCATTCTTTTGAATTCTTTTTGGTTAACTCTGTTACCTTTTCTTCCTCAGAAAGGTATTCTGGCTCTGCATCTTGGTCATTTGTTTGAGCCATTCCCTCGTTTCTTCTTGTGAGCTAAAATTGTGCATTGTGTCCAGTGCATTGTGGGATTATTGTATTTATAAAAACAAACTATGCAGTTTTGTACTTTTCTGTTGTCTGCACAAATCTGTTCTGACAGGCCTCCCTCCACTGCCAAAGCTACACGCAAGATGGTGAACTGTTTCCCTCTCTCACCATCCCTGCTTGGACTACCCTCCCAGGAAGTACTCCATTCCACCTAACCTTTCTTGCGAAGTGCAAGGTGCCAGGATGATCATCTGTGTATGCATTATTTTATCTCTTGTATCTAGTTGTTGTTGTTGTCAGGTGCCATCGAGTCGGAACCAACTCATAGCAACTCCATGCACAGCAAAATGAAACAATGTCTGATCCTGGGCAAACCTCACTACCGCTGCCACACTTGAGTCCATCAATGATGCC